GTAGCACAAATGACCCCAAGACACCCATCCCACTTGCAGTTGGAGAGAGAATGGTTGTCTGCAGTGTCTTTGGGGTGTCAATTATAGGTGTGGTCTGACAGTGAGTGTCCCCAGAGGTTACTGGATTCTAGGAGCCTGAGTCACACCAAACACATGCCCAGCAGACTGATGGGGAAATCACTTAACCCCCACAACATCTTGACTGCCAAGCTGATTTGGCATTCGTGTTAGCTATAGGCAGGTCACATGAAAGCCAGATGTGGCTGAGATCTTTTGTGGAACAAAGCAGGGTGTGTCTAGATGGAGAAACACAGAAATGTCAAAAGTTGAATTCTCAACACCACGCTGCTTCGTGGGTCTACCCTCAGAGGGAGGGTGTGGCTTAGATGTCCTTTGTGGCCAGGGTTACTAAAGGACCATTGGAAAGACCCAGGTTACCCAGATCCTTATGTATCATGATCTGATGGCACCTCAGGGCAGGGTCCTAGAGTTGGCATCTTCAAATCCCCCAATGTACTTGTCATGAGATGACAGTTTTTAAGCTCTCAAGCTCATATGGTTTTTGGGTCAGGATGCTGGGTCGTCCCTTGGACAATGCTGGGGCTAAAGAGGCTGTGAAGAGTCCGAGCCCAAAAGGCCTTGCCCCTCTGTGCATTCTTTCACCCTGCTTGTCATGTGGTCTATAAAGGGGACTTGTGAAGGAAGCTAATATCAGCCATTCATTTAACCGAGAATCTGTCTAGTTCTAGACTCTAAGGGTCTTATCCCTGTAGCGTCAAATACTGAGTAGAATCTTCTGGTTTAAGCTTATTTTTTCATTGGTACACAGTTTGGGCCCATCTGAGTGGCATCTACAAATTACATGAGTAAGTGATCAGCTACAAAGGTGAGGGCACAGAAGAGAAGACACCCTATCCTTGTGAATGACATCTGGAATGGGCTGCCCACATGCACCTGCTCAGTGCCCCAAGGGGTGACATGCTTTGGAAACTGGGCATCTGGGCTGGACATGCTATCTCGGCTGAACACATCTCAAGTGGGTTGCGGGGGTTCAACCTGAAGGACCCTTTTGAAAGTCTACCAGGTAAGGGCCCAAGAGCACTGCCCCTACCCTCCTCAGGGCACACTGTCTGCTAGGACACAGTTTTGTGCACTTGAAGTTGTCTCAAAGGCCCCACGTGCCCTAGGAGCGAAAAGGCAGTGGGAGTCTGCAAACAGGCAGAGGGAGAGGCAAGGGCAGGTTTCCTTGGGGGCTCAGTCAGATATGGGAGCAGGGGTGGGGGATGGGAACCAGGCTCTTCATCTGGTGTCAAAGTGACCCTTCTGTTTTTATTTCTCTGTTCATAGCTGTTCCTCTTAACTGCCAGGGGGACCGACTGATTGTTCATTCCATACGTTTCAGCTACACACACCAATAATATTTCACTTATTATGTCTATCAATACCCATGTAATAAATAACCCCTGGAGCCTTCTGGTTTTCATTTCACTCCTGTGTCTGTAGGGGTCCCCACAGGAAACAGGTGGCACACCCAGATTAGTGTGATCAGGACAGTTTTTGGAGAACTACACACACCACTATGGGTGGAGGGACTCACGTGGAGGGGATACCTCAGGGGCAGAGACCTCAGGAAGCCGGACCCGCTCTTCTCTCCTGTCAGGCTCTCATGCAACATAGCCAGATTATATGTGCATGCAGGATGGTGAGTAATGTTTTAGCACAAATGTGTCCCAAATATTGCATGAGATGTGCTTATACTTAAACATTATTCATTGTTTACCTGAAATTCAGATTTAGGCTTGGCGCCTGTGGCTCAAGTGGCTAGGGCGCCAGCCACGTACACCTAAGGTGGTGGGTTCGAATCCCCAGCCCAGACCCGCCAAACAACAATGATGGCTGCAACCAAAAAATGGC